CACACACACACACACACACACACACACACACACACACACACACACAGAGACACGCGGATGTGTCGCTCCTGTGCAGAATGATATCATGAATGAATGGCCGAGAGGAGAGGAGAGGAGGAGTGTTCCTTGAAATGCCATGCAGAAGTAGGCAGCTAGTCAGGGAACATCGGTCCTAGCTTGGAAGGAGTACACCAGGCTGCTGTACCGAGCAGCATTGGGGAAAACTCCATCCGCAAAAGTTACTGTCACACTCTCCTCTTCGTTAATCAGCATAAGCCCACTCGATCGCCACAAAAAAAAACGCCCAAGGTGCGGTAGTTTGAGTGAAAGGACAAGCCGGCGTAAAGACTTTTGATCACCGCTGAAGATGCGCGAACAGTTAGTTATTAGCCAGTGGACCACATAGTAGAGCCGTTCCGAGCTAACATTCGCTCCTGCGATTAGGAATCTCCGGTGGACCACAAAGGTTCAGAACTGGAACTGGAAAACAAATGAAACCATGCTTGGATTCGGAGGGTTAATATTAGCCCTCCTCCTCCTCCTCCTCCTCCTCCTCCTCCCTCTCCTCCTTTGCAGCGGTACGCCCGCAGTAGATACCTGCTGATGCTACTACCACGATTCAATCCCGGGAGAAGGTAATCAAAACGCTGAAGCCGTTGAAAATAAAGAGCCTCCTCCTCCTCCCCGTCGCATACTGGTCCACCATTTTCCCAACCGTTAGTGCGGAAACAGTCTTGCTGCTGGTCCTGGATTTGCTCCTGGTCCTGGTCCTGGTCCTGAACTTGCTCCTGGTCCTGAGCTTGCTACTGCTCCTGGACTTGCTCCTGGACCTGGACTTAGCCCTGGACTTGCTCCTGGACCTGGACGTAGCCCTGGACTTGGTCCTGCTCCTGCTCCTGATCCTGATCCTGATTCTCGACCTGAACAAGTTCGTTATCCGCAAACCCACTGAGGATGTACACACAGTTGGACTTAAAACGCGCGCACGTCTTGAGCCTCTAATTCACCCATTAAAAATAAAAATAAATAAAAATGCAGAGAGCACGAATTCACAGGGCTCGTCAAGAGAGGACTTCGTTTACAGGACTCGCCAAGTTCATTCCGCGAGTCAAAACAAGCCTTGCAAGGGTTTTAACGCGAGAGTTACCACGAGTTTGCTGCGAGTCACCGTGAGATACCCCGAAAGTTAACATGAGTTTGCTGCGAGTTCCGCGAGATAAATAAAGCTGCAAAGTTTATCTGCAGTGGAACTGGAACTCCCGGTCGGGCCAATCGAACACTCACCGACTTGACTCGTCTGCATCACAGGACCTGACAGTGTGCATACGAACGTCTTCCAGAGATTCTGAGATTCTGAGATTCTGAGACTTTTTTAGGATATCAGAGAGGTCCAATGACCATCGAATGAAGGTAAGCAGAGGTACCATAGCCATTAAATGAAGCTACAGAGTGATGCCAGTGGCTGAAGGGGCAAGATGGGGAAACCAATTGAGTGATTCTGTTAGTTCGATTGGGTAATGCTGTTGAGTATGTCCGCCGAATGATGCTGTTGAGTATGTCTCTGTCGAGTGCAGTTGTTGAGCATGTGGTACGACCGGTGATTCTAGGGGACGTTATCTCCAATAGCTCATCATCATATCGGACATGAGGAGAATATTCAAGACAGCTTGCGCTCATGAGACTTAACTAATTTGCTGACAGGAGCTAGGAAAATGAGAGCACGAGCGAGAGATAGGGAGTGCGAGCCTCTGTGAAAGGTCGAGAGTCTGTGTGTGTGTTTGCGTCTGTGTATGTGTGTGCGTGCGTCTGTAAGTCTGTGTGCGTGTGTGTGTGCGTGTGTGTGTGCGTGTGAGTGTGCGTGCGTGCGTGTGTGCGTGTGTGTTTGCGTGTGTGTGTGTGTGTGTGTGTGTGTGTGTGTGTGTGTGTGTG